CCACACACACACACACTCAGTCTCCAAGGACATGACTCTTCAGGACAGTTTCTCCAGCTCAGAACTAAGAGGCCAGTCTCCAGGCGCCCCCACTCCCACCCTCATCGGCTCCAAAGTTAAACCGGCCTGGGCTCCAGTCCCACCGCCGCACCCTGGCCCCCGAGGTGTGCGTGCCCACGCCTCTCTAACACGGCAAACCCACGCCTGCCTCGGGGCGCCTGGGAGAGCGGCATGCGTCTCCAGGAGGAGAGGAAAGCTTACAGGGCCTGGCACGCAGTACGTGCTCAGTGGACGGAAGGGCAGCATCATGTCCCGGGACCCCGAGGCCCTGGGATTCCAGTGCGTCCGAGGTTGAGCGGAGGCCGCCCTGAAGGCCAGCGTGTGGAGGGGCTGAGTTCCCAGAGCGGACTCCAATCCCAGTTGGAATCTCAGCTGGGCGGCACTCTCCCGGGGGCCTTGGGAGGTTGCTCAGCCGCCCTGTGCCTCCGTTTCCTCACCTGTGATACGGAGCTAACAATCAGCATTTCACAGGAGGAGGAAGGCGTCCAACGCATTCGTAAGCCCTGCTGCTCTCTCAGGCGCCTCAGGGAAGCAACTAGATAGTGAAGCTGAACAGCCAGAATGACCAGGCAGGGTAAGGAGGGCGGTAAACGGGTCAAGGGCGACGTGCAACCTGGAGGGTGCTGTGCAGAGTGCGTGGCTGGGAGGACCCAGGTCCAAGTCCTGGCCTGACTGCTTTGCAAGACCTTGGGAAGTCCCTGTGCCTCTCTGAGCCTTCCTTTGCTCACCTGTAAAATGGGACCACGCCTCATAGCCCCCGTCTACTGTACTCACAACGCATGCGCACTCCATGCTATCATGTTACCCTGTCACCTCCGCCTTGTAGAGGAGACTGGGGCCCAGAAGAGTGAAATCACCTGCCTGCGCTAGAGTTGGGGAGCTGGGATTTGAACCCAGGCAGGCTGGCCTCAGTCAGGGATATCCCGCCTTGGCCACTGAATTCCTGGGTCCCAATGTGTTGGTACTGTCCAATGGAGAAGATGGAGACCTTCAAGGCTGAGGTTTGAGCTGTTCAAGGACAGGGGTTTACCCTGGAGGACACCCAGGAAGGAGCCCCAGGCCCAGGCTCTCCCCCTGGCTATAGCAGCAGTGGGCTGGACAGTAAGGGTAAGAGTGCTGAACTAGGCCACAGGAACCCTGCCCTTGAAGAGCTGCTGTTTTCATAGCAGAAGATAGAAAACAAAGTCACGATAAGAGACAGGAGAAAGTAAAGGAAGGTGGTTGAAGAGTGACAGGGATAGAGCCTACCTTGAGATGAGGCAGTCAGGGAGGGCCTCCCGGAGGAGGTGACATTTGAGCAAAAGGAAGAGAAGGACTTGGCCATGGGAAGATCTGGAAAGAGGGTTCCAGGCAGAAGGAGCAGCATGTGCAAAGGCCCTGAGGTGGGAATCAGCGGAGTGAGTGTAACTGGAGGGAAGTGAGAGGGAAGGCAGTCCCTCGGAAAGAGGTCAGGAAATCAGGGCCAGGAGTTTGAATTTCAGTCCTTGTCCAGGTAGGGCCAAGAAGAGACTTGCCCAAGGTCACACACTGAACTAAGGGTGGAGATGTGCTGTGGCCTCAAGCACAGGGTGCCTGGGGAGACCTGGCCGCAGGGCCCACCCTGTCTCTTCCCACCCACTGTCTCTCCAGAGCAGCGACTTCCCCTGGAAGTCCTCCACCACCCAGATCTTCATCGGGGACCCCTACCCCTCTCCTTCCTGTGCCCTGAGACCACAGGCCACTCCATCCCCTCAGGGTGACTTCAGGTCCCTTTTGTTACCTGAACAATAAGTAACCCAGGTAGTTAGTTATAAACTCTGCAGGAACAAGGAGCTGGTTGATAATTTATAGCAACATCTCAAATTTAAATGGAAAGTAAATAGCATGCTGTTAGCATTAAAGAAAACCCAATCTGGGCGGGCGGGAGCACTCCAGCCTCCTCTCAGCTTGGGGTGCCTCACTCTCCCAGCCCCTTCTCCAAGCTGGTGCAGCCTTTCCGCTACTCCAGCTACTCCACGGCTAAGCTGGCTTCTCCAGGCCTCTCCCCATCGCCCTGCCCTCCTCTCTCTCAGCGTCTCCCCTCCTTCAGCTCCCAGGCTGGTCCCAGGGAGCACTTTGCCCTCTGCTCCCCCCTCGAGTGCTGTGGATCATGCCTCCCCACCCACCAACCCACCCAAGGGACTGCTGACCAAGAGGCCCCACTCAGCCAGGTAAGGAGGCCCTGGGCGCCGTCTCCCACTCCCACCCATCCCCATGGGGGTCCTGAGCAGCCCCAGCCCCAGCCCAGCTGCCCTCACCCTGGTCTGCCTGGCCTGCCCCTTTGCCCCTCCCCTGCAGCCCAGCAGGGCCCTTTGCCCTCCACTTCCTGCCAAGTCAGGGGGCCCATCTGCTCCCCTGCCCCCTGCCCAGGCCCTCACAGCCGACCCTGAGGACTCCCAGGCGGAGACCCAGCCCCCCCTCCCTCTCCCCCCCAAACCGGGATCAGGACCTTGGACAGAAGAGAGATGGTCCCTGGAGAGTGTCTTTGGGACTCTGCCTCAGAACCCCTCTCACCCCCGCTCCGCTGGCCCCAGCCCTGGCCCCCAGGCCTGGGGATTAAGAGCTCTTAGCAGAAGGGGTGTGAAGTCCCAGCTGGGTGGCCTTCACCAAGCTCCTTCCCTTCTCTGGGCCTCAGTCTCCTCATCTGTGAAGCGGTCGTGTCCACAGCTTCCTCCCAGCGTTCAGCTCAGTATTATCACATTTTAACATGTGAAACCTTAGCAGAGTGCCCAGCTGTTAGGACGGGGGCTGAGGAGGCTTTGGGGCGGGGACGTTCTCGCAGCCCCTCGCCCCCCTCTCCCTCCCCCACCCCAGCGCTCCCCATCCCCCATCTCCACTGGGTGGGAGGTTCATTGGCCCAGGCCTTCCCAGGCCACCATCCCGACAAGTTAATGATCACAGGCCTTATCAGAGCCTTTTGCCGTTTATAAATTTATAAAACAAAAGAAATAATAAAGCCTGTGGGTAATAAGTAACCAGTGAGCTCTGCTGAGGAGAGGGGAGGCATCGGCTCAGACCCACTCCGTGCCCTGAGCCGGAGACGGGGAGACGGCCAGTGGGGGGTCCACAGCGGAGGTCGCTCATGGCGCCTGCTGGTGAGGGTGAGGCCTGGGCTGTGCCGGGAAGGAGAGAAGCTCCTGCCAAGGCTTCATGTCCCCCCAGGTGAGAGACCTGGCTGCCTGCTGAGTCCCTAGGCGACCAGGGCAGCCCCCAGGCCCCAGGGTTGCCCTCCCCAGCGGCTTCCTGGCCCCGGGCTTGGGAAGGTAGGGTTTGGGGCATAGAATAGCCGTGGAGGCCGCCATGGCCCTCTGGCTCTCAGGCCCTTAATGGACAGTCTCCCGTTTTCCCCACCCAGGGCCCCCCTGGGCGCGGCGCTGCCCAAGCCCTGGGCTGAGGGCCGGCTCCACAGAGGACCTGAACCCCTGGGCCGCCCCCTTCCCACAACTCGGGGTACAGGCCACGGCCGGGCACTCGGCCGGGCAGGGCTGTCGGGGCGGAGGGTGGGCACCGGGCCCTGGAACGGGCGGGGGTTCTTACTGCAGCAGGCTCTCCACCACGGCCTTCTGGTGGGCCGCCTCCTCGGGGCTGAGGTTCTCCAGCTCCTTGAGGATGGGCGGCGTGAAGTCCCCGTCGTCGTCCGTCTC